TTTTTGTGGGGAAGCAGCTCTCACTGTTGTTTACACCATCAATCGCATTCCTTCTCCTGTTATTGGTAACATTTCTCCTTATGAACGATTGTATGGCCATTGCCCTGATTACCAGTCTCTTCGTGTTTTTGGTTGTRTTTGTTTTGTTCTATTACAACCTCATGAACATACCAAATTGGAACCAAAAGCACGTTTATGTTGTTTTCTTGGGTATGGTATTGAACATAAAGGATATCGGTGTTGGAATCCTCTTTCCCAACGACTTTGCATATCTCGTCATGTTACCTTTTGGGAACACAAAATGTTCTCGAGTCTCTCCTCATTTCGAGTTACCACAACATCTCCATAATTTTTTACTAATCCTACTATTTCGCTTTTTCCTGATGATTTACCTGTAGGTCCTACTACTCATTCCTCTGATAGCTCTCCTAGTACTGCACAACTTACAACCGCTCCTGATGCATCTACCTTGGCTATGGATCCTCCGGCTCTGCCTTCTTCTGAGCCCTTGATTCCTCCTGATGAAATTAGACCCTGATCATTCTGATACTTCACTACGTCGTTCTGGTAGGGTCACTAAACCTTCCATTCTCCTTCGTGATTTTCACTGTTATTCTACCATTGTATCTTTATACGAGCCTTGTACCTATCACGAGGCTAGTACTAACCCTCTATGGCAAAAAGCAATGGTAGAAGAAATTCAAGCTCTTACAAGCACTCATACTTGGGATTTAGTTTACCTGCTTCCAGATAAATCTGTGATTGGTTGTAAATGGGTCTACAAAATTAAGACTCGGGCAGATGATTCAATTAAAAGGTATAACGCTAGATTGGTAGCCAAAGGATTCACACAAGAGTATGGCATTGATTATGAGGAGACGTTTTCCCCAGTAATTCGTCTCACTTCTATTTGCAGTCTTATTGCGATTGCTGCTGCTAAGCATTGGTAGCTATTTCAGATGGATGTTAAGAATGTTTTTTCTCAATGGTGATCTTTCTAAAGAGATTTATATGCAGCCCCCTCCTGGTTATGATCATCTCCCTAATCAGGTTTGTCGTCTCCGTAAGGCTCCATATGGTCTTAAGAAGGCGCCTTGAACATGGTTCTCCAAGTTCAGCTCTATTGTTTGTCAGTTTGGTTTTCAATCTAGTACTTATGATCATGCCTTGTTCATTCGTAAGACCTCTCAGGTTTGTGTACTTCTTCTCCTTTATGTGGATGACATGATCATCACTGGTGATGATTTGCAGGGCATTTCAACTCTTAAGTCTTTTCTTAGCAAATAGTTTGACATGAAAGATCTTGGTCGACTGAATTATTTTTTAGGCATTGAGGTTTCCTCCGACCAATCTGGATATTATCTATCTCAGGCCAAGTATGCCACTGATCTTGTTTCTCGTGCAGGACTCACTGATACTAAGACTGTTAACACTCCGATTGGGCCTAATGCCCATTTTTCAGCCACTGATGGTACTCCTCTTAGTGACTGCACCTTATATCGACAACTAGTTGGCAGTCTTGTGTATCTTACTATTACTCGTCCTGATATTGCGTATGCTGTCCATATTATGAGTCAGTTCATGTCTGCTCCTCGCACTACTCATTATGCTGCTATGCTTTGTATCATCCATTGTGTCAAGGGCACTTTGTTTCACGGACTTCACTATTCCAATTCTTCCTCTCTTCATTTGATCGCATATTCTGATGCTGATTGGGCCGGTGATCCTACTGATAGACGCTCCACTACTGGTTATTGCTTCTTTCTTGGAGATTCTCTTATATCCTGGCGTAGTAAGAAGCAAATGATTGTCTCTCGTTCCAGTACTGAAGCTGAATATCGAGCTCTTGCTGACACTACCTCTGAGATGTTATGGTTACGATGGTTACTCCATGACATGGGAATTACTCATTCATCTGCTACTCCTCTTTTCTATGACAATCGTAGCGCCGTACAGATTGCTCACAATGATGTCTTTCATGAGCGCACCAAGCATATTGAGACTGATTGTCACTTTATTCGTCATCATGTGCTTGAGGGTATTGTTCATCTTATTCCTGTCTCTTCCCAGGATCAGCCTGTAGATATCTTTACAAAAGCTCACTCTCCTCTTCGCTTTCGTGCTCTATTTGGCAAACTCCAGATGACTGATACATTGCCATCTTGAGTTTGAGGGGGGATGTTAGCACAATTCGGATTTTACCACAATTAGTACTCTATCTCCTAATCTTTACTTTCCTCTTTGTATAGTTCCCTATAAGGGTTGGCTTCTTATCGCCGACCTTATTAGCTCCATTATATATAGGTTGTAACCCATTGAATTGATAGAGTGAATTATTATTTTCTCCACTCATCTTCCGTGCTTTCGTATCACTGCAAAAGCAAAAGAGTATCACCACATCAGCAGAGGAGATCTACAAAAGCAAATGATTCGAAAAAATCGATTCAGTCATGGATGGCAATGACCACGCAGTGGTCGGAGATGAAGATGAGAAGTTACCATTGGCGGAACCCCCAAGAGCGGTGTCTCTCCTCTTACTCGATCAAGACAATGAATAAGCCTGCTTACTTCGGCATAAAGCTGTTAGAGAATCCATTTTTGTTTTGTGAATCGACGCATTTGTGTATGGCAAAGAAACGCCCATAAATCTGAACCGAGGTACATAAATGCCCCGGTTCAGTATTTGTATTGCAAACAAACAGAGCCTTGGGAAGATTGCGAATACAAATATATAATCAATGTAAATACGATGTTCAAAAATACAAAGGTTTTTCCAATTGTACTCTTCTAAATGGAGCCTTAAGCCCTTAATAACTTGGATGAAGAAATTGAGATCCTGAATATGGAAGGTCTCAAACAAAAGACCATGAAGAACAACCTCACGTTCTAAAGAAAATTTCCAGGTCAGTTTTCTGTGCAAATTTGATCTATTATGTTATCCTCTTCCACTTGGGGATGAAAAGACAACTTTAGTGTGTTTTGGAAGAAATCAAACACAAAAATCAACTAATGAACGTATTACTTCCACACTCTTTTGATGTTGCACCCATCATCGAGGAACGTTTTGATTTCGTCGTTATTAGAAGAATAAATTCCAAACAGTTCTCATATTACGTGCACTTCAGAATCTCAGATCTTCTCATATTACGTGCAAGGGTTTTCTTTCTAAAAGGTTGAAATGAGAACAAATATATTAGGTGTATTTTTGGAATATAAATTCCGATATCAGTTCTCATATCACGTCCACTCCTTTTAAGAGGCCATGTGACCATTCCAAATGAAAATACAAACAAGGTTAATCAAGTAAAGTGGTTGAAAATTATAAGGGGCATTTTAGTAATACACAAATTACAAGGAATGTCTAGCAAACCACCCATAATAATAATAATAATAATAATAAAGGGTAAAAGGCTTAAACATATCCTGAGTTTATAGAGTTTGGATGGGCTCCCTACAGGGCTCACCTTACAGTACATCCTTTCTGTGCAACGGGAAGATCTTGCCATGACAAGTTCGGAAGATGATCCCAATGCATAGAGGCGATGTGTTGTGGGTTGCTAGTGGGGTGCGCCTCTGGGGAGCCCCTCTGAATTCAATGGACTTAAATATATTTTGCGACTCTTTTATCTTTATTTTCTTTCAAATTTTCAAAAAAAAAAAAAAAAAAAAACCATGTTTATCAATCTCCATTCTTTATCAATTCCTCAAGCTCTTCAAATTTAGGTTCCTCCAAAATATATTTATTCCATATTCTCTTCTCCGACGAAGCATTTCTTCCCACATTTATATATTGTTTTGTCAATGTTAGACTCCCTTTCTTTCAAGAATCTCAACAAAGTATGATAATCATCATGCCTAGGTGGCAACAAGTTCTTGGATAGGAGTTTTTGACACAATTCATGGACTACGAGTTTACTCTTTTGCATCCGGATATCCTATTGAAATAGAAGAAATCATGTAACCAAATTTCCTTTTTCCTCGCTCTTTTAGGAGAATGGGTGAAGAAGCATTTATGGCTTTCTTCTTGGAGTTCTCCACAAAGCATCTTGGGCAGGGATAATGGGAGAAGGAGATAAAAATCCCTTCTCTCCATGCTGAGTAGATGACCAAAGCTCTCATATCTTTAAAAGGACATAGAAGGACAAAATAATAGGATTTTAAATAATTTATTTAAATGAGTTCACATGTGATGGGAGGGTATGTTTAAGTCCAATGGCATCAGCTCACAAGGTATGTATACTCCAGTCTAATTGAAAAACTCAGGGTGTCTTTTAGCCTAATAATCATAATCCTGGCCCTGAGTTTCTGAAATCAATATGTTAATCTCAAACCTAAACATGGCTTTGTTCATCAAGGGAAGCATGTTTCATGCATTTGTCAAATGGCACATGTATCGCAATTAATCAATCATTCTATGATTCTTCTATCTTGCCATAAGAGACCAGTGAGAATAGCGCGCGCAGCATAGTCCTGGCAACCCACTTGCTCACATTCACACGTACGGTTTTTCTTCATTATGACAAAAATTTTATTGGATCTTCCTATATTAAAGGAACAATTTAATGGCGCTGTGATACTACACTCTGAAACTTGAACAAGATACTGTCATAGTTCTAGTACTATACATATATATATGTTGCATAAGCAACAGCTGTTCTTCGAAGATGGTGGATCGTCACATCACTGTCAGCCAAGACAAAAGACTTGAATTACAGTACCATGTTATCAGCTTCTTCATTTACAGTTATCAKGCATATCGGCCATCAGACCAAAGTGAAGTATTAATAATGGTCGCAGTTTCTTTGCTGTCTTTTTCCTTACTGTTGAGATGAGCACCTTATAGTTAAGACTTTTAGTTTCAGATCGGTCGGACAAACTGGAAAAATATTTGGCAATGGAATCCATCCAACTGAGGAATGAGTGGGCCGGAACAACAAACCAAACTGAACTGTGTCGTTACACTGTTATCTTGGGACGACAAGAGAATTCGACGTTTTGAATTTCATTCCAAAGCCATGTGTAATTAATGAGAACTATATTAAGTAACACAGAAACCAATGTCTGTTAGTGGTGTAAATCCTACCCCCAACAATTCAAAACCACACTCAAACAGGGGAAGAAGACAAAAGAAACGAAGGATAGAAGAGGACACAGATGAATTAAGTAACAGATCAGATTCAAAACCCTAACTCTACAATAGAAGATGAAACTATATTTATATATCCCCGTATATCGTCAATCGATCCTTGTATCTCCTTGCCGTTTGAAGAAGTCAATACCCGAACCATTTCCCTTGCGAGGTGGTTGGTGGTGTATCTCCTTGCCGTTTGGCGAAGTCAATAACGCCACCACGGGTCAGGTAAGGTTCGCTCTTGACTCCAACCCGTCACCCAAAATCCATACCCCTCCCCCTTTTTCCTTCTGTTTTGTTCTTCCTTCTTTAATTTATCTGCAACAACATACATAAACATGGAAAAATGAAAATGACTTAGCAGACATATTCACACAATTTAATAGATAGTAATAATGCATTTAATGCATTAATAGAAAAGATTCTCACTGCTTGCTTTTTTTGGTAAATCTGTTATCTGTTAAAAGTATGAGACCGGAAGAGATTTGACCAATAAAAAAATCCCCCCCCCCCTTTTTAATGTATACCACTTGTATGATACCAGTTAATTATTTATAAGTTTTTCCTATATCATTTCCTTGAACACTATAAATAAACTAGAAATGATACTAAAAATATTTGAGATTTTCAATAAATGAACACAAAATGACATTGTTATTGTATTTCATGAATAATATGGATTGAAAATTACTAGTATGAAACTTGAACCTACGACAATTTGACAAAAACACAACATTCATCTAACTTTATTGATAGTCACAATATAATTTAATATATATATATTAGCATTTTCTACTTGAATCAAATCAAATCAGATTATATTATATATATATATAAATATGAGCATTTTCTTCAAATCAAATCAGATTATATTGGATTGGATAGGGTTGGATCTGTATTTGATCCAATTATGTATAAGTGAGTAAATTCAAATCACCCAAATGAGGTCTAAGTCAAATTCAAATTTGGACAATTCGATACCATTTGCAGTTCTTCGGGTCATGGTTGAGTTGGCTCTGGGTACCACATGGCCGCCCAGTCATCACGGCCATGTCGATGCCGCTCTACCATCTTTGCGGCATACACTAACTCCATGGCCACGACCGCACTGTGCTATTGTAGTGGTCCCCACCTTATCCTCCCAGCCACATCAATTTCAAGTCATGTGGATCAGCATGACCAAGAACAGGAGTGGATGGGGACAATTCCGTTGGGGATTAGGGCTCATTCCGAAGACCTTGATGGTTAACCTCATCCTGAAAACCCCAAAAGCCTAATCCGATCAGGACACARACCTTCGGCTATAGAAAAGTATCTCCCGTTCAAGATAAGGGATTCCAATTTCTAGCACCCATACTATTACTTTACTCGGACCAGCACTGTTCTTTAACTGTTCGGCCCAACCACCCACTATATTCCACTAACTTGAGTGTCGGAGTGCCTGTCTAGGAATAACTCCTCAGGCCTCTGACATCTTTCTTGATTACAGATCTTGGAGCGTGGCTTCATCCTTCAATCTTGGCTCCGCTCTGTTGACAAAAATTATATGACTATAACCTCGATTCGTGCACCACCTCGAATTGAGTAGCATCAACAACCTAATGGGCATTCACACATTTGTGTTTTCAAGGGTTCCCCTTGCTTCCGATTAAACACATATGTATCTCTTTAATTTTTCAAATAAAGGAAGCCTTTTGAAAAACAAGACAAAAAAATAAAGGCTCGATTATGATTATTAGGGAAAGACATGATACCGGAAAACTTATATCCAATTAACAGGTATCATAAAAATGGTAACCATGCAATTAATGAGGAGGTATATATTCATCAAAATTCACCATGGGGAGAGAGGGTTTGAGTGATCAAAGCTCTTACCATACCTTATCGGCATCTTGGATTTACCCTCAAATATTAATTACAATTCCAATTTGGTTTGAAGCTGACATAAATTGGACGGATATAATAAATTCTGATTTGAACCGAATCAAATTTAGATATACCTATATCTGATTTGATCCAGTTGGTTTGCAGCCCTAACTCCCATGTCCCATAAAGGCCGAAAAGCCCTCAAGTCTTATCAATAAGAATATCAAATAGAGGAGTTAAAAAAGCATTAATTAATGAAGAGAGTAAGAAAACATAGAGGGACAAAATTAATGAATATCAAATAGAGCTGTATATCACTCACCCATGGCCTCTGTTTTTTGGATTCATGTACTTTCACATGAAACCGCAGCCTTGATTCTTTCAACAGTGCAAGCAATGAGGCTGTTGACAGTAGCCACAGATCCGAGAGAAAGTTTTGCGGTAGGAACTGAATCGACCAATATCTGAAATGCAACAGTCAGTAGAGATCCACAATGTACTCCACTCTGAACTGGTGCCCCATCAGGTAATATAGCAAACCCGGAGGGCAGGAGGGCAACGTAGTCTGGGTCTCCGCCATTGAGAACCACATTCATTGCGACAACATCCACAGGAGCATAAATTACCAAGGAGCCTGTTGAGTCGGTGCAACTCTCTTGTAATATCAGCATGTTGCTCTGGCTTGAATTTGCACTCTACAATGATAATTCAATTCATTGTGATCATCAGTTTGATGTTTGAGATTGATCATATATAGATGCATGATATACGGGCCGATAATGTAAACACCCATCTCTGCAACTGTGTGACTTACATTAACTCGCAGTAGGGAGACACAGTTGCCTGGATCACGGCCATTAGCAATGTGTGCCATTTCTTGAACAACACCACCATTTGAAAGGATATCCCACTGTAATTGCACGATATGATAGGAACATTTTGATTAGGGTGATGGAAAGGAGAGAAGCAATTGTTATAACTAGAATACGAGGATTACATTACATGCCTAATTTAATTAGTATGACTATTATTCCTATGAATCTAATAAAAGATGATTAAGCCTCTGTTTTTTAATTTATTCTTCATGATTTTCTTCGTTAACATGGATTCCAGCATTATAATTTATAGTGACCACTAAAAAGAAAAAAGAAGAAATTTCAAATCTAATTTATTTGTGTCTGATGATGATAAAAGTGTAAAAGGATATATGATTCAAAACATTAATATATATATATATAGGTACCTCACTTCGGGAGTTCTCATCGCGTAGGAAGTCAAAAACTTTCTTTGGTGGGACTGGTAGCCAGAAGGAAGTGGCAGCACTTAGCACAATACCAGGAGGTCTGCCTGGATCGTCGATGCTCTTTCTAGTCATGACTCTTACATCTTCGGCACCACTTCCGGATAATGTAGTCCATGTGTGAGCGGTAGAAGCACTCACACCAGCACAGAAGCTTACTACCATCCTCTCAGCCAGCTTTAACATGCTCTTTCTCCCATCTGGACTTGTTATGACTGTGCATAGTAGTGCCAAGTTCAATACATGTATAGTGAGGATTTCTCAGAAATGAATATGGTTGGTTAATTATGGAAGAGAGAATGAATATACAGTCGTTATTCTCTTAATTTTCATATAATTAATTTGAGCGGATACAGTATTATTAATATTACCACCAATATCTCCAGCCGGTATGTTACTAGCCATTACACTTGCAAGGCGTTCGCACTGTCGATCCAAGGTGGCAACCCAACGCTTCGCACCAAATGCAAGACAACAGCTAACCAGCCCTCTGTATATGCTATGAACAGCTCTATCATCCACCTCTACATGTTCCACCCATGTTACCTTTCGAATATACAACCACCAAATTAACTAGTTATTATAGCTACAAGAGAGAGAGATAGAGAGAGATTGCGGTGTTAATTAAATGGAAATTAATTTAACTCTCGTTTGTGAATATTTATTTGCTCACTTTCGAGTATCCATTTGGCATCTCTTGGATTAAGCAGCCTGACGGTCTTCTTCGACATCTCAACACAGGACCAGGGCGTAAATGATCCAACGAAACATCAACCACCGCCCATGTCCCTTCGGCATGCTGTTTACAATACCTGACGAAGTAACTCTCTCGAGTTGGCACCAGTGGTGAAGGGACTTGGAATTCTGCTGTCATCTGCGAAATCGTTGAAAAGTTCTAGTTAATACGTTTCATTTCACCAGCATGAAATCAGAAACCTCTCCTCATGAGTAGTTGAAAGAAAACGAGATCAAGAGCACTGTATAAGTTAACTACCACTTGCAAGGCTCCATTGTAGTTTCCTGCTACTCCAGTTGATAGGACTTCTAGCGTCATTGCTCTTGAAACGATGCTAGAGAAGACACTCGACCACTGATTCTGATAGCCAAAAGGGAAAATTAACTTGGGTTCTCGGGATATTCAGTTCTGTAAACATATAAAGGTATGACCTTGTCTACTCTTTTCGGTGAAAGAAAATGCACGTACCACATCCATAAGGATTTCAACAAGGTTAATATGGTTCATGATAACAACAGCAGTTTCTCGGGAAGCTTCAGTATTGAACGCCGCAGGTTTTGGCCCAATTCCCCTAGGAAATACCCGGATGTATTCATCCTCGGATAGAATCTCGGTTGCATTGTCGAGGGAAGGCACCCACAAGGGTTCGCCTAGTTGAGCCATCCGGATGAGCTCCTCCATTGCTGCAACAGCAAGCTCGATAATCATTGGCTTATCAGCCTCGCTATGCCCGGAGACTGACCTAAGGAGATCACCAGCTGCCCCGTACATTTCCCCTCCACCTCCAACACCGAGGCCGGGCTGAGCCCCAAAATTCCCAACACCCAAGTCAAGGGAACGAGGAGGAATGGAAGGAGACATAAGAGGGTAAGAGACCAAAGGTTTGCCTACATACTTTGCAGCAATTCCCGATATCCTATCGATCTGTAAACCAAAGAGAAAAGTTGATAACTTATTAGTTCAGTGTGACAACTTCCCAGCCCAGCTTCTTATAATAAAGCAGCAAACAGGTAAGCTCGATCCATCGCTGGTACCTCCTCTCTTAGCCGAGCATTTTCGAGCCTCAACTGATGCTCGTCAAATGACATCTCGCCGATGGCAGTGGGACCTCCACAGTTAGGGCATGATGCATTACTGAGGGCTTCTTTGTACCTTAAGTTCTCTGTCCGTAGTTTCTCGTTATCGGCTCTCAGCTGTGCGTTCTCTTGGCGCTCATGCTGGGTCTGTACGAGGAGAGAGATTGGTAGCAGAAAGTGATCAGAAAACTGAATCTAAGCAGTATTAACAAAATCATGCCAATCTTCAATTCCCACCAATATAGTTAGTCTAGGTATAGTAAACGTGAGAACAAGAAGGCAGAAAAGGCCATAATATAGAAAATGCAGATACTATTTTTACATAGAAAACTTAGACGGAGCCTGTAATGTAGTCCATGCAAAATGAAGGGTTTTACCTTCATTTGGGTGCGCTTGTTTTGGAACCAAAATTTGACTTGTAAAGGCTCTAACCCTAATTCACGGCTAAGCTCCTTCCTTTGTTTGTCATCCGGATGAGGGCACTCCTTGAAGAAACTGATAAGAGCAGGGAAAAAGGCTTAGAGATCGAAAATCTAAATGACATTTTTCTTTTTCTTTTCCTTTTTCTTTAGAGATTTTCAAGAGCTTACGCTTCCATTTCCTGGATTTGGAGCTGAGTGTGGCGATGATAACGCTTCTTTCTGGGGCGCTGGTTGGGATCTTGATCATCACCGGAGGCACCTTCAATGTTTTCGCTGCCGGATTTGCTCTCGAACTCATCATCTCTTATCTTAGCCATCTCGCTTTCAGGGGTGTTCTGAGACATCTCGAGCTGGTGTTGCTGTCCATCCAACATGTTTGGCTGTAACATATCTCCAGATCCTTAAGATTCCGAAGCTATTTTTCTTTCAAACTATTGAAGTGAAGCAAGCTAACCACTCAACAGTCAAAAGAAAGAAGCCGATGTTTTAAATGATTTAAAAAATAAATTTTGAGAAAATATTAGGATAAATGAAACAAAAAAGAATAAAAACCCATTTTGTAGTAGAAAGTACAATTGCAGTAGCAAAACTTTGTAGCACAAAAGATCTATCGATCTCTCTCCCCCATCTCAAGGAAAACTCATGTTGAGATGCATGAAGATGGAATCTGCAGGCAAAATTTATAGGGCAAAACTCTCACACTCTCTGCCCCTCTGAAAAAGAAGACCTTACGCGTTTCTCGGAAATCGAGAACGATTTGGATAGAAACCAGTTAACACCTTTGTTGTTTACCGTCATACTAATAAGTCTATTAACAATGTTTAAGCAGTAGAAGAAAAAGAAGAAGAAATATATACTAGGGAGAAGAAAAAGGAACTAAAGAAGTCAGAAGACGAAATAAGCTCAGCAGTCGCTAAATCAATCTAACAGCCCATGAAAATGAAAAAAAGGAAAAAAAAAGAAAAGAAAATGAAAACAGAAAGAGGGAAGAGACCAACGAAGCCTAATAAACACAGGTAAAAATGGAAAGAAGGCAAGAATTTAAGGGTGAGATAGAAAGAGGAGATAGAGCTGACCTGACCGAGCGTAAGACCCGAAGATGACCCAAAGCCAGTGATTTTTCCATTCCTTCCCATCATCGGCGGTACATGTCCTGGTGGAATCATGATTCCGGCAGGCATACTTCACCCCCAAGAAAAACCCTTTGATATGGAACCCCCCCGCTCTACAACAATAACAACAATTCACAGTCTCACACACTTTCCATGTTCATCTCCGACACCCTTATCTATCTTTCACACTTAATCTCCTTCACTTCTCTAACTCCCCGTTTGGTGTCTTATACAGATTTTGTGAGGTAGTGTTTTTGTGATTCATTGCTGTAGTCTGAGCAGGCTAATCAGATCATTACAGATAATAAACGTGCAGAAATGGCTACGGTTTTGGTTTTCAGAAAAAAGGGTTGCTCCAGCCTATCTGTGATTACGTGCCAAATGACAAGAAGAGAAAAAACAGTGAGAAGTCGGTTTTACGAAACATGGACCTTGAGAACCAATATTACCAGACTATAAAACAAAACAAAAAGATCTCGGAGTAACCGACTTCACTCTTTCTCCATCTCGTTCGATGATCTGCGAAGAGAGGGGACAAATGTAATAAAACGGAATAAAAAATAACTGAGAAATGAAATAAAAAGTCATATTGACGCATACAGAAGGATAATGGTGAATTAAAGAAATAAAAAACACTCCTCCGAACAACTGCTAAAAGTGGAGCAATTTTCCCTGGATTATACTTACTCGTGAAGGGATCTTCGACTGAACAAAATAACCCTTTTGAAGCTCTTACTCAGCCCATATGATATGTGGATTAGATCTGTTTAACAGACTGTTGGATAGCCGGAAAACCACTATTTGGGTATCGGCGAGTGGTTTTCAGGATGTTTTTGACTGAGACTTGAGGCATAAAGGACGGAGAGAAAGGAGATGAGAAAGAGAAAGTGATTTGGGGAGGGAAGAGAAGGAGAAAGGGGAACAGATGGAGATGTGGCAGTGAGGAGTAATTGCAGAGAGTATTGAGAGGGTGCAATAGCATTTATGGAGGAAGAGGTGTAATTGCGAGAGAGAGAGAGAGAGAGAGAGCATCTGATAAATATTTTTCGAAGGGCATGGTAAAACGAATGACGGCTACCAAACACCATTGTTTTCGACCAGTCTTCACTGCTTCAAATTTTAATCTTTATAATTATTCTCTTTTCATCTTCTTAAGCTCTGAGCTTTTTGAACCTCGCACAGTTTTATATTTACTTCAGTGATCTCCATTTTTTTATGGGGGAAATTGAGATCATATAGCTATTGAAAGAACAAATACAAAGAGATAAGAAGATAAAACATACTATTTAATTTCTTTACAACATGGAAAAATATAATTTTTTATGCATAATATGATACCAAGCACCATTGATGATTTTTGTTGCATAATTCTAGTTATGAATTTGTTTTGGATAATTGAAAGTTTTGCATGGTAAAACAAGGTTCATGTAACCAACGCTATATAGTTGGAACAAGGAGTAGAGATGATGATGACAACGATGAAAAGCACATAATAATTATTAATCAAAATGCAATAAACTTGTTTTTTTAAAACTAGGTGGTTTCATACGTCAGTTGACTCAAAAAAGTATGATAATGTTGTCCACATGAATAATCACCATTACCTGTATGATTATTATTTAGTTTATTAGTTAACCTGTGGAAAAAAAATGTGTGATCTGCCTGTTGAGTTATTGCCTAAATTTAACAAAACAATCATCTGTTAACATGAAGAAGGAAGAAATTTATTTACCTTAATATAATTTAATTGATTGGCTCATTTGGTTAGCTTTTAATTTACCATAATACTACTGAACAAGTAATGAAAATGTGTACTATGATTGCTAATTAATTAATCGATTAAAAGAATAAACTTAATCCAATTTATCTAGCATGCATGACCCAGTTATTTGGTTATTGTCTAGAGATAACAAAATTATACAAATCTCCATGTTAGACATGATGATACAGATAAGAAAATACACTCCGCATTTAATGTGGATTTTGGAAGGAAAAAAGGACTTACTATTAATAAGTCTTAAATCTTAATTAGGGAACTTGATGAATGAAAAAGCAAAATCCCAATTTAAGAACTTATCAGGAAAACAGAATAACCCACACCACATATTAGCATTGTGTATGTGTGTATGTATTAGAGAGAGAGAACTATGTGATTGCCTAGTATTATTAGGGTTAGAAAAATTGTTAATTTCCTGGGCGTATTAGGGTTTGTAATCTTGTATGAGTATGTACTTTGTATAAGAGAGAAGGTTTTCCTTAGATAGTTGTTAGTTGTTACAGCTCACAATAGTTAATTAGGGGAGTGGGACTGTTGAGATTCCTATTGAGTATGTATGGAGCCCAACCACGCATTCCCATCCTTTACTACTGCGATCTCTCATTAAATGAGTCTGAGCCACGCAGCGCTGCATGGAGAGGGCCATTTACTACGTTCATGCCTCGCTCGCACGACGCACGCCCCTCTGAAAGAGCTATTTTTATTCCCTTTTTAACTCTTTTTGTCTTGATTTCCGCGACGAAATCGGCCGTTACGCCCAAGTCAAACGCCCTTGTATCGCCCGATACTCTGTCCAAACGCAACCCCCTTTTTCGGAGATTCTCCGGCCGTCCCGTCCCGTGGCCTCCGCTCGGCGGTATTGGTGGGTCCCATGACGACACCCCATCCCAATTCTTTAGACGTTGAAAATCACGTGATTATCCCATTCTTGCGTTGCTCGGCTAGTCAAATCAAATGGTCTTTCTAGTTCTAGCTAATAAGGCCATTTTCGTCATTTTATTTTTTTAAAACGGTGACCTGGGTCTTCCAGTTCGAAATACTTATTATGTATAAAAAGAAATACCATTACTTACTATTTCAAGAAAAAGTAATGAGAGGTAAGAATAAAAGAAATAAAAATACATAGAAATGGATCGATTGGTGGCCCATCATTCCCACCGGGGCCTATGAGCCTATCCATCATATCTAATTGGGTAAATGTAAACGCAAATGTTGCCCAGTAACTAAAATCAAGTGAGAGCCCGTCAGTAACAGTAGCCACATCCACATGTAGTGTTTTTGTGGATGTGAAGCAAAACTGCCCTTCCTGCTTCTACATTCTTTGTATAGTGAAAATTGAAGACTATGGTGGACCCACCTACCATTAATTAGTTGGAAAGGCTAAAACCAACCAAATTGAAATTCTAAATTTCTAATAGTGAAATCTGATGGATCACCGATTAGCACATCTAACGACCGATAAGATCTCCCAAACCAATTCATCAACAAGAATAATCGAATAAAACAAAATGAAAACCACCATAATAATGAGGGTGACGTGTTTATTAGTCGGTAATCGGTAGTCGACTGAACGAGCCTCTTCCTAATTCTCACAACGACCTCACATGCATATCCCACCGTCAATTAGAAATATCTTTCATAAATAATAATAATATGCAAGTATAAGAGATGTTTTTAATGCATTGTAAGATGCGTCTGTGAGATCGGTGTGAAGTGCTATGTGTGAAGAGAAGATCTTATCATTTTTTTCCTTTAACAAAAAGAAAAACAGGAAAAAGCAATCTTGATAAGTGATAACCCCCTCTTGCCTGCCTACGTGGCAATGCATGCAACACTATTTTTAGGCACGTCATCATCCCCAAAAGGTTCACCTACTTGAAGCAACACTCCTCTAGAGAAAATCTCTCTCTTTCTGTCTCTCTTATAGGAATTCATCGGGTAGGATACCTATTTTGTATTGGACCACAGCCCTAGTTGAAGCAATAAGTTTCGGATTACTCACTTGAATTTTTGGGCCGATATGTTTGGGCAAATTCTGTTCACTGGCTCATATCTAAAATGAAATAAAAGGTGATGTAGCAATTAACTCCTACAAGATATCTCTATGCTAGTTCGGCCTCTTGGGATAATAGGTACCATAAACGTGTTAATCAATCAGGTGATATTTATTGAAATTCACAGATGGGCTTTGATTGGTCAATGCTCTTTCTGCTATTATGTCTTTCTTGCATCATAAATTTTCCCAACACAATAAGAGCAGTTCAGATTTATTTCTACTGATTTAGATATTTTACCCACTGAACAGTACAGCCACTCACAATAAATATTTTCAATACTTGTATATTGTCATTCACAGGGAGATATTCGCAATGGACAGCTGTGATGTCTTGTGGATGGGATATCTGGACTGTATTCCTACATGCGATCCAAATTTTTGATCCTTGACCAAGTGCCAAATACCATTTTAACTTATTCACCATTATTCTTTGGTAAAAAAAGAAACTGGCTGTCCACAAGAGTAAGATACACGTAGTCAACCTTTTGCCATGTGGCAAATTTTATCAGTCATTTTTACTGCTATTTAGTTAACTTGGAAATGTAATCAGAGCGCGCACTTCAAATTAAGGGCAACTACACGTGACTAATCCAGAGGTTCCCCTTTGAGGCGGACAGTTCATATACATTTGCCATATCAGCATCCAAACATGCACAATTCAATCTTCAAATAAAATCCCTGCATTGATAATTAATTAGTGCCCGTTTGGGAGGGCTTCATAAAGCTGTGATAACGTGTTTGATGAAAAATCTGGAAAGCCAAAACTAGGGTTTATATGAGCTGAGAAATCAAATTTCTGCCAACCTACTTTTAAATTTCATGAGAGCAGCTCAGTCAACTCAACTCAACACTGAAACCCTCCCAAATGGGTCAGGACTTTCACACAGCGGCTTCTGGCTTTGCAAGGTCGGTTTCACACAGAAAACATAGAAGCTATGTTTACTGAAAAACATGGAAAGCCTACATACCCTTTCATTGAGCTGAGAAATCAACTTTATGATAAAGCTAATTTTAGCAATTTCTTCAAAGCGAATTGAAGCTATCGCAAATGGGATTTAAAGATAAAATAATGGCTTCAAAGTAAGAGTAGTGTTTTTAAACCATGTTGATCCGGATAGCCGGATTATTCAACATAGAAATCATCTAGGCAATTGGTTCTATTTCATCCTTAACCCGTTCTTTGATAAAAAATCGTTGATTAAGTCAACGATCTGCTGATTTAGACAATTAAATTATTGATCCATTCGACCCAAAAAATAGTTTCAACTGTTTTTTATTTTTATAAATTGAAATGGACCATCTGTTCAAACCAGATGATCACTGACTCAGAAACTAGTAGTTTCGGTTCCAGGTCGATTTTTAAAACATTAAGACAACATCACTATCTCTCTTACAAATGAAAGATAACAGTGATGATGAAATCTTAACAGTGCGAAGCAAGTTAAATTATCGCAAAACGACCTGATTAAGACTATTCTACTTCCAGCACCTGTTTTATTCATATAACTATAAGCTAATCATATAATTCGTCGCATTAAAGGGTGTGGCTTTGTGGCTACACATTTCAAGGGTTTTCAACTTCTGATCAATGTTTAATGTATGTGGGATACTTGAGACATGTAATAAACATGCAAAGTTAATTTATACTTTTATTCTGAAAATAGCTTCTCAAAACATGGACCACGGCCAGGTCATCTGCCAAACCTGTAAAGGGGGAATTAATATTGAGTTATTGACCCAACTGGTTTAATTGATTCTAGTTAGTTTTGGAGATTAATTAAGTATGGTCCGGCTGGTTTAATTAGCTCTAGTCAGTTTTGGAGATGTAGCATGGTCCAGCACTCCATCTGGTTTAATTGGGTATTTGATGCAACGGGAAGCTATGGACGAAAAAGCATTAGCATGTAGGGGTTTCGTTAGCCTCATGTGTAGATGTTGTAATTCGTAATTATGATTGATTCTTCTGATGATCTTTTAATTTCGGTGGAGTTTTGGTCATTAAATGCTGGTTGTTATTTGTTAATATTTTCAAAATCTCTATTTTTAGGTCCCAACACGTTCGAGACAATTTTGGATTGGTGGAAGCTATGCACCAAAGACAGTCATTGGAAT